AAAAATTTCTTGCTTATAAAATATATATAAATAAAATTATTTACAACTTAAAATTTTTACATTTTAATCATGATTTTTAAAAAGACTAAAAAATTTATAAAAATCTATTTAAAGAATACAATAATTCTTTTGAGATGCTCAAAAATAATTGTTTTTTTCAAAAACACAAAAATGTAAAAATTTATATTTAATTGCTTGTCGCGCTAAAAAAGAAGTGGGTAATTACTTTGCGCAAAAAATTTTTTCGAAACTTGTAAAATATTTTTGACTTTGTGGTAATTATATTGTTGTGGAATGAAAAATCTTTAGGAATAATAAATAAAAATGGAAAAATATAAGAAAAAATAAATTTAAAAAATTATTTAAAATTCTAAATTTTTTTGACTAATTAGAAAGGTATAGGCTGTGATTTTTTAAAATATTTTACTATGTTTTTATAACAATTTTAAAAAATTTTAAAAATAAATATACTCTGCTTTTATAACACTTTTTCCAAAAAGTGTTATAAAAATGGAGTATATACTACTCCCTATTAATATACCGTAAGTTATTTATGGATTAATAATTTTGAGTTTTTTTTTGACTGATATTTTCAGAGTGGATTTGCCCAGTGAAGTAATCATCGCGAATTGGGTTACGATATACCATTCGAATCACCATTAAATATAGTATCTAATATACCAAGACGATTAATACCCTATTAATATACCGTAAGTTATTTATGGATTAATAATTTTGAGTTTTTTTTTGACTGATATTTTCAAAGTGGATTTGCCCAGTGAAGTAATCATCGCGAATTGGGTTACGATATACCATTCGAATCACCATTAAATATAGTATCTAATATACCAAGACGAACTATACCCTATTAATATACCGTAAGCTATTTATCGATTAATAATTTTGAGTTTTTTTTTTGACTGATATTTTCAAAGTGGATTTGCCCAGTGAAGTAATCATCGCGAATTGGGTTACGATATACCATTCGAATCACCATTAAATATAGTATCTAATATACCAAGACGAACTATACCCTATTAATATACCGTAAGCTATTTATCGATTAATAATTTTGAGTTTTTTTTTGACTGATATTTTCAAAGTGGATTTGCCCAGTGAAGTAATCATCGCGAATTGGGTTACGATATACCATTCGAATCACCATTAAATATAGTATCTAATATACCAAGACGATTAATACCCTATTAATATACCGTAAGTTATTTATGGATTAATAATTTTGAGTTTTTTTTTGACTGATATTTTCAAAGTGGATTTGCCCAGTGAAGTAATCATCGCGAATTTGGTTACGATATACCATTCGAATCACCATTAAATATAGTATCTAATATACCAAGACGAACTATACCCTATTAATATACCGTAAGTTATTTATGGATTAATAATTTTGAGTTTTTTTTTGACTGATATTTTCAAAGTGGATTTGCCCAGTGAAGTAATCATCGCGAATTGGGTTACGATATACCATTCGAATCACCATTAAATATAGTATCTAATATACCAAGACGATTAATACCCTATTAATATACCGTAAGTTATTTATGGATTAATAATTTTGAGTTTTTTTTGACTGATATTTTCAAAGTGGATTTGCCCAGTGAAGTAATCATCGCGAATTTGGTTACGATATACCATTCGAATCACCATTAAATATAGTATCTAATATACCAAGACGAACTATACCCTATTAATATACCGTAAGCTATTTATCGATTAATAATTTTGAGTTTTTTTTGACTGATATTTTCAAAGTGGATTTGCCCAGTGAAGTAATCATCGCGAATTGGGTTACGATATACCATTCGAATCACCATTAAATACTGTATCTAAAATACGAGCCCGATTTTTTTATTCAAAAGGTTTTAGATAGTTTTTGATGCTTTTTTGAAAGCTTCAGAAACTGCATCCTTATTAATTTTAATTCACCATCATTATTATTTATTTATTTATTAATACAAAAAAATTTTTTTGATTATTTTTCAAGAATTTACTCAAAACTTGATATTATAATATTATATTTTTAGTTATTATTTTAAAAATAAAGACTGCGGAATCTTCATTTATTTAATTTTTCTTTTATTATTTTTTAAAGTTTCTTTGTTACTGTGCGACTGCAAACATAATAATTATTTGTTTTTGTTGCCTTTTATGAAAAACAACATTATTTTTGAATATTTCTATTTAAAGTAATCTCAAACAAAACTTTTCCTTTCTTTTATTAAAACAGACAAAAACATCTTTATAAAAGTAGAAAATGGGAAAACAAATTATTAAAACATTTTTAATTAAATAATAATTCTTTTTCTTCCGGTTGTTAATTAAATTTTTAATTAATTGATTCAATAAAAATTATTTTAAAAATTATTTTTAATTAGTTAACTGTTTAAATTAATTTAAAATCATGATTAAAATAATGCTCGCAGTTTTAATTACAGTATTCCTCAATTTTGGCTTTCAGAAAATGGGTGTTGAAGCTAATTGGTAATTATTTTAATTAAAATTCTGGTGTGGATTATGTGTCAATTATGGGTGAATTAAAATTGGGCTTGGTTTTGTTGTCTGATAATGGGGGAATACTGATGACCAGTGCTGGGTATTAGGCATTTGTTGGCTCCTGTAATGTTGTTGTATTTGTTGGCTCCATAAAATCTTATCTCCAGCTCCGGAGCTTGCTCCTGGAGCCATACCCAGCATTGCTGACGACTCAATCAATGCTTCGTAGATTCTTATTACCGTATCTGTTCGAAGAATCATGATGTCTCGAATAATTACCTCCTCTCGGTTAATTACCCTTTCCGTCTCTCAAGGTAATTGTTTGATTCAGTTATGTCATTACCCGAACCCCGTACTTATTTCGACTCGAAACCCAACCCGACTTTTTTCTCAACACGCGTCATCCCTGGTTTGAGATATCCCTGGACCCGTGACATCCCTGGTATTTACATCCTTCTCTTAATTACTTCAAAAATATTTTCCTTAGAATTTTTTGATTAAATTAAATTCCAATTTTTCAGTTGTTGCTGCTGCCCTTGTTGCTGTAGATGCTGGTACTTTACTCAATCTCTCTAAAGATCTTTAATTTATCATTCTAGTTGTTGCCCTCAACCACCCATCATTATCCAACCACCTCCCGCACTTCATAAAATTTGTCAAGTGCCTTGCTGCTGTACGTTATATTTAATAAAAATTTTAAAAGTTAATTATCTCGAGCAAAATTTAAAATTTTTAGGTTGCAAACCATGCTGTTGTTGTTGCTGTAAGTTTAAATAATTTAAAATTAGTTAGAAGCCTTCACAATCATTTAAAAATTTGATGATATTTTTGGTTTATTCCCCCTCTTAAAAATCAGCTTCTTGGGATCAGTGACTGATTTTTGACCTAAAAACTGATCCTGAAATGAGTAAAACTTGAGAAGCTCATTTAGGAAAATGGAAGAGCTTAAACCTAAGTATCGACGGTACTTAATTACTGCCCCCTCCCGCAGTCAATTTTTTCGGTAAATATGTAAAATGGTCAGTCTGTAGGATAAAGAAATTTTTTGATGACACCAAGTTCAGAAAAATTCGACTTGATTTTACCGAAATATAGACCCCTGAAAATTGAAAAACCATAGAGGCGAAATACCTAGAGACAATAATTTATACTACATATGCTAGCTCATTCGAGAGAGCTCGCGAGCTGAGTCGAATGACACTAAAATCTAAATTCAAATTTTAAAAATTTTCCAGGCGGTGGTGGAGGAGGACGTAGACGTCGCTCTTTGATTAGCGCCATCAACAGGCAACAAAATTCTAAAATTTCCACAATCCCTCGTGTAAAGTCCGAAGAAAAGAATAATCGTGGATGCAGTATGTGCCCTCCAGTTCCAAAACAATTGACAAATTCTACAATTTCTGGAGGGAATTGTACTCGTTCAGTACCTAAAGAACATAAAAATATTCATAAGCAGAAGAAACAGATAAAAAAAGATAATTAATGATAAAAATTTAGTTTTCTAATTGTCAATTATTATAGTAATAATAATAAATTTTATTAGAAATTATATTTATCTAACCCGGATTTCGATTGGGTTTAAAAACTGCATTTAAAATTAGGTGTATTCAATATTTTATGTATATCGCATATGAAGCCAATTATAGCCATACCAATTATCTGATAAATTTTAATGATGCAGTTTATCTCGAGACATGCTCATTCAGTATTGTCTGTACCAGAGGAACTTTCGGAAATAAGCTCACATTTTTGGAAATCGAAAATGCCAAAGACAAAATGCTACAGAAACTCGGAAACACAAAATTACGGAAATTGAAAGGGAATCGTAATTCCTATCGACCTCTGGTCTGACCAAAATAATTTATTAATAATCTAAAACTCCGAAACATTTAGGTTTCGATCTGATCCCCTTTAAGTCTTAAATATTTTTAAAAATTTACGTTACACTATAATCAAAGATAAGTAAATGGTAGATAATGAGAAGTGCCTTCACACCTTTTGATTGATATGTCTGTCCAGCTTCTGTGCTACAACTTCTAAGCGGTTCAACTATTATCAGGCTATATCTGTAGCATAGCTGTAGCTGTATAGAAACTTAGCGTATTTACTCGATTAATTCCCCTCCCTCGAATAATTCCCCCTGCTACGAATGAGTTGAAACAATAATCCCCTTCCCCAAATACTCTACTACATGTTCAAATTTCAAAACTCGGTTAATTCTCCGTCCTTGAATAATTCCTTATGCCACGGATAGGTTGAAAAAATAATTCCCCAGGGGAATTAATCGAGTAAATACGGTAATTAGGCTTAAGAAACTTTTAGCTTACAAAATCTTTTTTGAAAAATTCTTTATGAATTTTATTCTAAGAAAAAAATTTTTTAAATACATTCAATCATAATTTATTTATCCTACTATTTTAAAATTATATAAATTTGAAAAAATATTTTTATCACAAAATCTTTAATTATAATTAAACTATAATCTTTTATTTCTGAGGAGATTGTCTTACAACAAATTCTAAATTGTTTCTAAACACCAAAGATTCATTTTGTTGGTTTTTATTAGCCTCTCTCTTTGCTTCAGACCTATTATTTTTTCCTAAAATAATTTTTATAAAATTTTTCAAAAATTAATTTAGAACCTTTTTCATATCCTTCATCGGATTTACTATTTAATTCCTCTCCCAAAGCCTTTTTCTTCAATAAAACCAAAAAGCGTTTCTTCCTTCCAGCATCGAAAATGCTCGATCCTCCCCCTATATTAGCCAATAAATCTTCACTGCCCAATCCTCTTCCTACTCTTCCTATTCCTCTTTCTACCGTATCACCCCCACAGGGCATTGTTGACCCACTGTTTGATAACACATTATTGTTTTGGACTGGGGAATGCATTGAGGATCCTAATCCTTCAAGGCTAGGATTGTTGTTGTTGGCGTTTGAACTGTCCATCATTACACCTTTAGATTAGAATTTTAAAATACTCGTTCGGCTTTATATGATTTTATGTAATTGGATAAGTTCGGAGGGATATCCCTTACACTTTTACTGATACCACAGCTATTCCCTTATAGTAGGTTATAAACGGATTCCCATTAGATTAATGGATATTTGGGTTTATAAGCTTGGATTTATCCGCTATCTACTAATGTGCTCGGGTATCCGATCCCGACTCGGGAAAATTTCCCTAGTTTTTGGCCTCCCGACCCGGCTCCCGTTTCCCGATTCCCGAGTTTTTTTCCTCCCGAGCATCACTACTATCTACCTATATCACTCTGTTGGATAATGTACATATAGACGCACGGCACGCCAGTTGGAGCGTGTTGGTGCAGAACTTTGGGATTTTGATACGACTTGGGTCCGGAAAAGACTTGTCCTCAAGCTCTAAGAACTATATCTACTACCATAATCCCAATTCTTCTCCCCTCCATTATTCTCACCTCCTCCGAATGCCGGCAAGTTATAAAAATTGTTATTATTGTTGCCATCCCCCATACAGGCCCCATTAGTTGCTTGAGGAAAAGCTCCATTATTACACCCCTGTCCTCCATTTAAACTGCCCATTTGTTGTTGGCAGTTTATAGCATCAGCAGCATTTACATTGCATTGTTGCTGAGTACACCCATTACTTCCAAATTGTTGGGATTGTGAATTCATTAGAGGAATTTGCCCGTTATTATTACAGGCCCCGGAGCACTGACAATCACTCATTTCTCTGTTATTTCCAAGTGAGTCCATTCCCCCTCCGTTTAGCATTGTCCCTCCTCCGCCACCCATCATTTGTTGTTGCTGATTAAATATATTCTGGCTGAGAGGAAATTGGGGTTGCTGGGCAATTAGTTGCTGACATGCTGGTCCCTTTGAAAGGATACTTTTTATATTTAAAAATTTTTTTATCTTTTACCCTTTGTATAGGAGGGATTTTTGCACAGAGCGACTGTAAGGGTGTTATAGAAGATTGGGCTCCGCATCCCATTGGAATGAAAGCATCTTGGTTAAATTGTGGAAGGAGTATATCCGAAAACTTTTTGGCCATTAAATCAACAACGCTGCGTTTCTTTCGGCCATAGCCTCCACCTCCTCCACCACATCCACAACAGCAAGGGCCTTAATTTGAATTTAGTTAGGGCAAGAGATAAGCTTTTTAATCTTTTTAATTTGATTTGAATGTAGCCATCTTCTATAGAGAACATGAAGGGACTAAGAGGAGCGTTCATTACATAGAGTAGTTTATATGTAAGGAAGAGGTTTTAGTGGAGGATAATTTCGTAGGGACTCTGGAAGAGTCCTTTATATAGAGTGAGTTCATTATAGAGGCAATTTACTAAATAGAGTGTACTCTATATAGCTGATTCCGCTTTATAGAGGTTCACTATAGAGGGGATTCACTTTACTAAGGTCATTATTTTAGTCAAAATCAGATAAACATACAGCAACAACAGCAACATGGTCTGCCTAAAATATTAAAAATTTACCGTAAATGTCCCTTGCAAGCCTATGCCCTATAGAAGCCCACTCAATGAGGCCCTTTGAAAATTAAAGGCCCTGCCCCCTAAAGGCCCCCTCTCTATTAAGACGTGTACGGTAAATTTAATAAAATCATTAAATAACTAACAGCAGCAACAACCACAGCAACATGGACACAACTATAATTTAAACATAGTTAAATTCATATAAGCCTTAAATCCACCTTTACTGGAGGAGGGGGTAATTTAATGATTATTGGTTTGCAGCAGCAACTGAAAGCAATTTTTCAAAATTTTTAAAAATTTAAATTAAATTAATAACCTAGGACAGCAGCAACATCCACAGCAGTTTGCATCTGCAAACCTCATTTGGTTTTGGAAAGGGATTAAAAAAGGAATTAGGGTGATAATAAAGAGGATTATAGGGGAAGTCATCTTAGGCCTTAGAAATTTTGCTTCTAAAAATTTTTAAAAATTTTTTAAAAATTTTAAAAAAAATTAACATTTACTCAATATAAAATATTTTATTTTCATTTATTTTTAATTTAATTAACAAAATATTTTTCAAATAAAAATTTATTGTTGTTTAAAAGCTAGCATATAAAGGGCTCCTTTATTTGTTTCCTATGAATAGAAATTTCAAAAATAAATTTTTTTTTATTTTTTTTGTTTAAGGTAATCCTCTCCTTATACAAAAAATTATTTATTTGTCCATTAATTTATTCAAGTTTATTTTTCTTTTTATTTTTAAATTTTATTTGCTTATAATTTTACTTAATAGGCAGCCTATTCAAGAGCCTATTTTTGGTCATTAAAAAAAAGAAAAAAAAATTTTTTCAGAAAAAAAAACCAAAAATTAATTAAAAAACCTTCCCAAATCTTCAATTTAATATTTACTTTAATTTATTGAATTATAAATAAATTAATACCCTTAATCTTTGCTAGGAAAATGCGCAAAGTTGCTTACACCTTATGTTTCTTTTTACTTACTCCTTTCTTTCAAGACTTGCTTAAATTGTTTTTTGGGTGTCTTTTTCTTTTAAATCCGGTCTTTAAAATCGGGGAATATGTTTACTTTTTTATTTAAAAATTTTCTGCTATTAATAGTAAATGATTCTTTTATGTTTATTTTGGACTTTTAATAATTACAAAAGAATTTTTATTAATTTTATGAGGAAATTAAAATATTAGGAAGTTAATATCTTTAGTTATTTGAGAAAATAATATTGGAAGTTGGAAAAAAAAATTTTGATTTGAGAGGAGTATTTAAAATTATCTTTTATTTGAGAATCAAAAGTTGGATCAGAGAATGTTCAGAGAATTGGATCAGAGAATTTAAGGATCAGAGAATTTAAGGATCAGAGAATTCTGGGTCTGGGAGGCAAGTCAGGACCAGAAGCAAGTCTAGTAAGCCGGTCTGCCTGGAAAAATCTTGACCTAGGAAGCAATATACTGATAAATGCTACCCGTATCCAACACAAAAAGATAAAATGAAGCGAATAATTGAGTTGAAGTTATGAGTGTTAACACATATTTTTTCTGATTACAGGAGATTCTGTGGCTGTACTTAAAGAATTGCTCTCAAAAGATAATCTCTAGGTCTTAACACCCTGCAAAAACGAAATTAAAGCTTGCCATTACCATCCTTTCCCTATTCAGATCTCTATTCCAATCCCTATTGAAAGCGTATAACAAAATTAAAAATTACCAAGATTAAAAAATTCTCAAAATCGCTAAATATAATTTTTCGATAAAAATACTCTTGAATATGAACAAAAACATTAATTATTAATAAAACAGAAAAGTGAAAACTACCCATTTCTTTGTTTATTGTCCAAATTTATTGTCCATTATTAAGTACTAAAATGGAAGTATTTTATTCGGCAATATTTACAAGAGCTATTGTAACCAAAAATTAGTTAGGAATAAATATAAATAATTATCTTATTAAAAAATAAAATTTATTTTTGTCAAGAATATCAATTATTAGATATTTCAAAAGTTATAGCTAGTGATCAGACCGTACCCCTCCCCTAATGATGGCATTTTTCAGTATTTATCGGTATCTCGATCAGGGCTGTCCGCAAATGAGAAAACCTTTTCGAGGGAGCAATCCGTAGATCCGCAAGTCTAAAAAGCCCGCACAATTTACGCTGCCCGCAATCCGCAATTGCTGACTGCCCTGATTCCGTTCGGCTGCCCTGGGACTGCCCTCATTCCGACATACGAACTATGTTACAGTATACTTTTTAGGTTCATCAGTAGTTATCGGTAACATTATTTTACTGTATTACTGTCCTGAATACGGCGCGGCTCGAGATTCCGATCACTAGTTATACCACAATTAAGCAATAATGTTAGCAATTTTAATTTCTGTTTCAATTCTATTTTTATCTGTTGAATCGTCCCATGAAAAGGATCTTCAAAAAATTGCTCCACAAAACTGCAGTTCAACTTTGGCAAATCAAACCCCAACCAATTTTTATAAGGAAAAAGACTGTCGATGCACATATCCAGCCGAGAAAACTAATAATTTAACAAAGCTTCCTTTGAGGGTTTTGAAGCGTTCGTGTGGTGGTTGTTGCTGTTGCTGTGGGTTTTTATTTATAAAAATTACAAGAAATAGTCATTAGATAAGGAGGGTAAAATAAAGGAGCTTTCGTTCTAACGAAAACGAAGGATGGAAGATCAAGCCCCCCCCCTTCGTTAAAAAAGCACCCTTTATTTAAGGGAGCATTGAACCTTTCGAACTTACGTAAAAGGATTCTGTCCTATAAGTCTGGAAGAACAAAGTTGTTAAATCGAGAGGTTTACTAAAAGAGAGCCGCCAATTTTATTTTTCTTTTCATGGCAACTTTTGGAATTTTAATTTATAACGAGATGATTTTTCAATCATTCTATCTTGATTAATTTATTCTCGAGAAATTATAGCAGAACATATTTCCCTATGATTTTAGGCATTTAAAACGCTCACTAGGCGGGGGTTTAAGATTTATTAAAAGAGAAGGTGAAAGCAGCGTCCCGATAGCTCTCTGTTGGTAGAGCACCTGTACGTGGTGAGCAAAAGCGCCTAGCAATAACTGCCAGGAGGTCGCAGGATCGAAGCCTGCCGGGATTAAACTTTTACCTCGCTCTTACTACACCTAACTAACACACTTGAATAAAGCCCTTACATTATTTTCCAGAATTTAAAAAATTTAGGTAGGCCCTGTTGTTGCTGTTGCAATAATTGTGGTTGCTGTAATTGTTGCAATCCTTGTTGTTGTAATTGTTGTGGAGGTTAACTTCTGATTGGATAATTTTAAAAAAATAAATTTAATAGAATGTCAGTGTATTAAATGGGCCCCTTGTTGTTAGTTTTAATTTATAAAAAATTTTTTTAATTTTTTTCTAATTTAAAGGTTGCCGACCTTGTTGTTGTGGATGTAAAAAATATTTTTAAAAAATTTTAAATTAATTTAAAGGCACTGGATACGGTAGAAAAATGAAAAAATTTCGTCGTTCTACACCTCAAATAAATCAGAAAACGCCCAAATGTTCTGTTAAAAATTCTACAAACTCTACTGATATTTCTGATAAAATGAATAAACGTTCTTGTTGTTGTTGTAATTGCTGCAATTGTTGTTGCTGTAATATTTTTTTTAATTTTTTATGAAAAGGTTCAAGGCCAGATACCAGCCCTCTCAGAATTATGATTGACCATCATTATCAGAAAAGAAACCAAAAAATTTCGCTTCGGAATCAAAAATTTTTGGATATCAGAAAATTTCCCTTGGTCTGCCAACCCTCCGCTCAGACATCGTTGACTCCTTTCCTAGCCTCTCAGTTTTTAAATTCCTCATTTGCTACTGCATTTCCTCGTATAACTACCATGGGTAATTATTGTTTCGGCCTCCCACTGGAGGGGTTATTAACCAAGTAGATAGAGATGTCCAAGACTCTTGGTCTTGAGTCTTGATTCAAAGACTTTTCTTGGGTTTTTTCGGTCTTGGGGTCTAATCTTGGTCTTGAGTCTTGGAAAATTTTCGGTCTTGGTCATCTATACAAGTGGGGGCAAAATTAGACGAAGTGTGACGTCTAGTAGGGCATTTGATGGAGGGCAATTATTATTTTTCATCCTATCGCTGAATGGGGAAGGTAAACTTAGAAGGGGTAATTATTTGAGGGAGGGCAATTAATAAGCCTCCCAAAAAATGTCTTTAAGAATATCCTTCCTTTAGCTATCCTCCCCAATCTTTTTTTAATGTTTTCAGGTCGACCTTGTTGTTGTTGTTGCCGACCTTGTTGCTGTTCCTGTTGCTCCCCTTGTTGCTGTGGAGGCAAATTTTTTTATTCAAAATTTTTCAAATTTTAATATTTAGAATCTCACTACAAATGGTCTCCTTGTTGTAAGATTTCCTTTTAATTTTAAAATTTAAATTTCCCTTTTTTAAAAAATTTGAGGTTGTCAGCCCTGCTGTTGCGGATGTAAATTTTAAATTTAGAAATATTTTTAATTAAATATTAAAGGTGTTGGCTATGGGAGAAGAAAAATGAAATGTCGTCGAGGTATTAAAGATGGATGTAAGAACAAAATTCCTAGCTGATTTTTTAAAATATTTATGTGATTGTTCTTTATCATTTTCTATTTTTAAATTATCATATTTTTGAAATAAATATGTAGGCTTAAAGCTTGGTTGGCGTACGCCTGAACTGAGCAGTTTAGTCTCGATCCTATAACCCATAAGGTGATGGTGAAGGTATGGTCGACAAATGTGATAAAGCCTAAAAATTACAACCGGACCGGAACTGAAGAACCTGAACTTCATAAGCTCTATTACCTAGGCGTCGTGCAAGTACCTTATAAACAGGACTCGGACTGTGCTTCATTTTCTCGAGGAAATCCTTCTTCATTGGCAAGTGCTTCCTTAATAACAGGGCTTCATAATTGGAGACTCACCACGAATCCGGACTTTTTTCGAAACAAAATCTAAAGCCCGATCCGAAGGAAGTTTTGAAAATTTAATCGAAACCCAAGAGACTTTTTTCTCAACAATTCCGTTCCCTGCTAAGAAGGGACTGGTAGAAGTGTTATTATAGTCAAGGGTTTACTGTAAAAGGAGGATATTTGGATGCATATCTTAGTGAAGGCCATATAAAGTGTTCACTATTAAGAGAGTTCCATCATTCGCCCAAGGCCCTAGGTTCCTAGGTTCGCCCTAGGCCTAGGCCATAGGTTCGCCTATGGTCAACATTTCTATAGTTGCAGCTGCTCCCGGCCTAAGCTTTTGATGCCCAGTTATTTTATAAAAAATGTTTGGATATATGTATGGCTAAAAGGCAATACCTATAAAGTCTAAAATTTATTTCGAGAATATCCTCTCCCCCTCCCTCAAACGATGGTTTTATTGGTGTGCGGACATATCGGGATTGGAGTAACAAAAATAATTTCTGTATTTACTTTTGCTCTAAAACATGAAAACTCTATTCCTCAATAGGATTATATACTAGCCAAGACCCAGTGGCCTTAGGTCCCGAAATCAGTAGGGTAACTGTTCGTACATTGAAATATCCCTATATGTCCGTCCCGATGTCCGCGTGCCGGTTTCATTTTACTCGTATGAACCGACATAATACTTGTCCAATTATCTTTTAATTTTATGGAGTATATTTTTTAATTATTTCCAATTTTATTTATTTATTTACAAGCTATATGTATTTGTCTTTAATAGCATCCTCACAAAATCTTTTCTTTATTTCCTCAAAAAATTAAAGTTAGTCCTTTTAAATAAAAATGATCATCAACTAATGCAAATAAATGGACAAATTACCAAAATAAATATTTATTTTCACTTCCGGTTTTTTATTAAAGCCTTTTCTTTCATAGAAAAAACAAAAAATAATTTTAAAAATACAATAAAATTTCTTTATTTAATAAGCATTTTTGGAGACTTTATTCTTTAATAATAATAGACAATAAAATTATATTCTTTGTATTTTTCTCGCTTTATAAAATGATCAACTTAATAAAGATTTTAAATATTTATTGTTTAAATATTTTGTTTAATTTAATAATATATATTAAGTAAAATATTTTACTAAAGTTTTATTCAGGGAACCTATTCAGGGTAGTTATTTAGGACCTTGATATAGTACCCTTGGGAGAACCTATCCTTAGAATGAGGAATTATCTTAACTACTCTAATAGAACCACCTTTGATTCTATTTATCAACCCTCTCGTAAGATGTGCTTATATTAGAGAGTAAGCTTCTATTAGATACTTATGTTCTATTAATTAGGAGAGTATGCTATCAGAGGATATACTGCATTCTAAAGTGATTAATTGAGTAGACACGGATCTGTGACTGGAGGTCGAACAAGAATTCATTCTCCGTCATAATTCCATGATTCAGTTAAGAAAATATAAGTAATTCTCGGTACATGAAAATCTGCTTATAGTAAGTATATCAAATGATTGATTTTAAGGCCCTGGCCCTCTTAAATTTTTGACGATTTATCAAAACAATAAATAATAATTCTTTTTTATTTTAAATTTAAAAATGGCATTAATATTCTCTTCATTATTTTTTCTTGCTTTTTTAATCTTAAATAATTTAAATGATGCAGAGGCTAATGGATGTGGATGGTAAATTTTAAAGAAAATTTTTAGTGTAAGATTAATTTTAATTAGTTGCTGCCATTGTTGCAAGTGCTGTTCATGCTGGTAAATATGTGAAAAAAATTTTTTTTAATTTCTTAACTTAAGCACACCTTGCTGTAACCCTCCATTACTGTAAGATATAATTTAAAATTTTAAAAAATTAAATTCCCTTTAATATTCAGAATCAAGCTGCCACGGTATTTTAACAAAAATATTTATTTTACCGTATTCCCTGAATTTACCGTATTCCCTTGAATAACTACCCTGAGTTGCTTCGTCCTCCCGCTTGAGGGAATAATTAATCGAGTAGGGGCAAATATTCAGGTTTATAACGTGCATTAAGGTTTGGGGGAGGATAATTGAGGCTTCGACTTCCTGTTGGTAGTGTTTCACCGGAACCAAAATTTTGACCGGAACCGGATCCAATTTGAGTTCCGGTTCCCGGAAACGGAACCAAAAACACCAGAACTTTCCGGAACCGGAACTTCCGGTGAAACCTAGTATTAAGGTTTGGGGCAGGTAATTAATGCTTTGACCTCACGTAGGTCGGAGTAACTGAAGGAGGGTAATTATTCGAGCATTATACGGTAATCCCTATTTATTCTAATTTTAATTAAATTAAGAACGTGTCCTTGTTGTTGCAAGTGCTGGTAAACTAATTAAAATTTTCTTTAAATAATTTTAAAATCTAAAAAATATTTTTTAAGCTGTCCATGCTGTTGCTGTATGCTTTAATAAATTAATTCATTAATTTTCAATTAAAAAATAAATTCAAAAGGTGGTGGTGGGGGAGGGAAGCGTAAACGTAGAAGCATTCAAATATCTAATGGAGTGCCTTTCCCGAGATTGAATTTTCCCATTTCGTCAGCTAATGCTGTGGAAGGTTTAAAAATAACTCAATTGTCTCCTTAACTAAATTTATTAGATAAATCGTGCAACTGTTCAGTTAACGAGAAATTCAATTGTGATAACCTTGAGGTTAATCAACCTTC